TTTTTGGCAGTGTCAAATAATTTGATAGTGGAAAACCATTGGTATAATTAACTTAATTTCAGAAATAATTCTAATATCAGTCTACACAAAATGCTAATTGATCAAGAGTGATATTTATAGGACCAAACAAGCTTGGATGTGAAAGGTCTTAACAATATGAAATGGAAACAAATGGAGTGATAAGGATCTATGTTGGCACTGCTTTTGTGAAAAACATGTTCATTTAGAGAAGGATGATATAACATATGTGATGGTATGGTGATGAAATAGTAAAGAAAGAATTGGAAAGAAGTGAAGGTAAAACCAAAACTTAGATGTTATAAAATCTTTTTTTTCGGTAACACTGCCATTACTTTTCCAGTATGACTTTTAATACACTTACTGACAGGGGCTTTCTACACTGGGAAAATGTTTCAGTATTTAACTTTAGTAGATACCAATGGTTCTGTTTCAGGAGGGTTAGCAATACTTAGAGCCACAGTAGTAACACGTCCCTAGTTTTTTCTTCTATTTCTAGGTCTTACTGAAAAGTGATCATGTGAGGTCTGGACAGTCAAACAAATGATAGCAGTTAAGAAGCTAGGGGTACCTTGTCTGCTCTGTCTCAAGACAAGAGGATCCTACATCACAATAATTTGGCAGTTGTTCTGTTCTGCCTTATATTAGCTATAACTTATCACAGGACAGAGTGGACACAGTTGCTGCAGAGTAGCTGAAGTGTGGCAAATTTCCCCTCCTGCTTCCTGCTCCCAGGTTCAACTGAGGGTAATCTGTTTGTCTCTCTACAATTGAAACTGATGCCTGTAGAAGTGAGCAGCAAGGATACATAGGCGATCCTGACATTGCTAACACCAGAAAACTTCAAGTGGTGCTAGCAATTGTGGGAATTTTAAAGAAAAGGTGTTTAGTGTTGATAGCACTAATAGTGTGGGAAGTGTCTCTTGTCTATTTGTACCAAAAGTGTGTGTGTGAAGAGTTGAGATTAGCACTGTCTTGAGGATTTTTAACAAAACCTAAAGTTATAGGATTTTCACTAACTTTTGGGTTTTGTTCTAGACTTGAAAGTCACAGCAACTTTGTCAAAAGTTTTGTTTTTTGTCTTACAAACTTACAGAGGTTAATGAGATTCTAAGTGTGTTTAAATACAATTTTAACAATGGAATTTGGGGGGCTGGAAAGAGGAATGGTTTTGGGAACTCCTTGCAGTAAAACAGTACGGTTATTTTGTACAAAGTTCCATGAAGTCTGACAGCCAAATTTTGCACAAGACAGCACAATAATTGTATTCAGTTATTCCATAAAAATACTATCATGTTATCCTCATCTTGGGGGCTGGGGTAACACAGGCGCTAAAGCTCACTGTTGACAACCCAAAGGTTGCAAATTTGAGGCCATAGCAGAAGTGCTCATATCACAGCCTGTCAGATTGTAATGAATCTGCAAATTCTGCTAAATAGCTTGTCATAAGGACATGAAAAAGGAAGGATCCTCATCCTCATCAAACTGATATTGAACTGAAGAAATATGCACAGACAAGTGACAAATTTCAGCTGGAGAACTAATTGACAAGCTCATTTAATTTATTCTCAGCAACACAATGTAGGTTTGGAGAAGTGGAAGATAAGTAATCCACTCTCCCATCTGATGCAATGTAGATTTTGAAAGGGATTTTTGTAAGAAGTATTAAAAGACACCTTTGTGTTTGCTAAGTCACTCATCTTTATATGAATGTCAATATTAATTATGTGTTGGTGGTAAACAAATGCAATTTAAGTAAATAACCCATGGAACTCTACTTGTGAAATACTTGTAAGTAATTTATGCACCTTTAAGAATAGTTTATTCACCTTTTGCAAAAAAAAAAGCTCTGTAAAGTTACCTATAATTAGGGATCTACTGAATTTATGATTTTGAGGATTTTGTGAAATTCAGCTTTGCCTGTGAAATCTGGGCAATGTCCACAGAACTCGTGAAATCCATGAGCCCTTACTTACTGAGCACTTCAGCAGCTTGCCAAGGCAGGGAAGGCAGCGAGGGCTGCTCAATCAAAGTGCTGCCATCAAGATGGCTGCCACACCCACTCCTTGCCGCTGACTGGCTGCAAGGGCTGCCTGTCATGTGGCCCCCACCCCTCTCATTGGTGAGGGGTGGGACTGCATGGCAGATAGCCCTCACAGCCAATCAGGGGCAAGGAGTGGGGTCACATGACCGACAACTTCTGCAGTCAATCAGCAGTGAGGGGCAGGGCCACAGATGCCCTTTAGCCAATCAGAGACATGGGGGGGCACCATGCTCCATCCATGAAATGGAGGCCTGGGCCTGGATTCTATCTGTGAAATTGGGGGCAGCCCCCAGGAATTAGGTAGGCCCCTAGCTATAATGTGCATACAACTGTTATGGGGCATACCTGCACGTTCCATTCTTGTGCCTGGAAACCTTGTAAATGATGTTATATGAAAAGAAAACTTTAGCTCATGAAAGAAAATTAATTGTATTTTTAAATAGGTATTTTCTGGCCAGACTGTGATACCTTGATTTTTGAGCAGCTGTTTTCAGGGACAGACTATTGAGAAATACATTCTTCATGATTAGTAAGGCTGTTACAACAAAGCGCTGGACTTCTGAAACACTGCTGTATATCAGCTGAGAGATGAGAGCAGTTTTGGGGCATATTAATACTACCTTTGCTTCAATGTATTTTTCATTTGTGAGTTGGAATTATACGTTCTAAAGCAACATACTTAAGCCAGGCAGAAAGTAGGACATGCTGGCATCTTAAGAAAGAAAATAACAATGAAAGAAACTTTCATAGGTAACAATTTACTTTGTAAGATGCTAGGAATAGACTGAATAAAAATAGAAAGCAAAGTTAAGGTAGTGGGTACAACAAACATAAAAATCATACCTGGGAAGTGACTTGACTAAATGGGATGGAAGCAGATACTAAAATCTCATCTGCTGAATTTTTCAATTCACTTTAAAAGGCCCTACTGGGGCAAAGAGGTTAACGTACTTTATCATGTATTATGAGCAGCTTTCAAAGAGCATTTATTTCTGCAAAGGCTCATTAGAGGCTATACAGCAGGTCTGACTGCGGGGAAAAGGATGAAGCCAATACCCTCACCTTGCTATTCTGAACTCCACATCTGTTTCCTGTGTACTTGCCAAAATATTACCAATATCATTAATGGACTTTGACAACACAACTGTTTTTTTTGTGAATGAGAAATAAAATGCAAACAGAAAGTCATCTGCTATTCAAGTTTTTGACATAAAAGGCAGATTCTACCAATCCTCCACATACAGAGCTTCCCTTAAAGCTCACTGGGAGGTCAGTGCATAGACAGTGTGTGAAATCATGCCAATAGCAAATATGTTCATGTAACTGAAGCCTGGGCAGTTATTTGGGCTGGAGGGCCAGTTAGGGAGATTTGGTGGGCTATTGTGGGCAGGGTCAGTACCCCTACCTCCTGCCATGCCGGGCTGGGTCAGCACCCTCCACCTCCCAGCAACAGTTAACCAGAACTCCCTAAGTAGTCCAGGGGCACTGGATGGAGTGGGTGGGTGGGGTCTTCATTGAGACTGGCCGGGACCCCTACAGGCAGGGTGCACTCAGGGATAGGGCTGTGGGTGAGCAAGGAGTGGCATGGGCAGGCAGGGCTGCAATTGCAGGGCTGTGATAGTGCAGGGCCAGGCCTGGGGCACAGCCACAATCTGCTCCCCATGTGGCCCCACACTGTCACCGCCCTGCAATCCTGGCTCCAGCCCTGACCACATGGCCCCATCTCACTCCTGGATGCTGCTTCCTGCCTGCCCATGGCCCCATCCCATGCATCTGACCAAGCGTGCCCTGCTTACTGGTCCTGGCTGTTCTCCATGAAGACCCATTCCACGTGCTCCCTCCAGTGCCTCTGGCAGCAATGGGGCTTGGTGATGGTGACACTAGCAGTGACAGGCTGGAAGGAGCCACTGCCACTGGGTCTTCTGGGAAGCGGAGTCCAGCTAGTGTGCCACCCAAGCCCTACTGCATGCTAGGGGGCAGCAGAACTGGCTGCACATGCCACAGCCTGGCTGTCTCCCACACCTGGGCTGGGCAGGGCTGAGGGACCTGCCATAGGTTGGATAAAACCCCTTGGCAGGCCAGATCTGGCCCACGGGCCTTATTTTGCCCACTCTTGATGTAACCGATAACTCTCCACTTAAAGCAGGGTTAATTTGCATCATAAAAGAATGGAAAACTCCCAAAGGAGTATCTACTACATGTGTGCATGTGATATAGATTCATTACGTTAACCTGAGTCAGTTTTAGAAAAAGCTATATATTTATGTTATTTTGTAAATTTTTTGTTATCAGTTCACTAATGCAATTCAAGATAATACAATTATTTCATAAGAAACACTATCACGTTATCCTTTTCCTTGTCAAAGTGATAGAAAACTGAAGAAATTTGCATGGGTAAGCAACCAGGCAGGAATTAACAGCTGTACAACACTTATGTCATATTCACACACTAACTTACTGTGCTTGGCAGTAGTGCCCTCAAGCACTCTGCACTGCTTTGAGCAAGCTGCCTCAAACTCGGAGCAATACAGCGGTATCCATGTGGCACAGTAAGCCAGCTAATTAGCCCTGCTGAGTGACAGTGCAAATTTGCCCACCCACAGCACTATCCGTACACAGCTATGTTGCTTTGTGTTTAGGAAGCACCCAGTCTGGAACAGCTTGGAACAGCTAAAAAGAAACTAGCAATTTTTTTCCAGTGTAGACTTCTACATGATAACTCTTCTGAATCACTGTAATTTTAGGGCACAACAGAAAAGTTGTATTGCATCAGAAAGACTACACATGACAGTGAGGAGGCCAAATTTTGCTTCTAAGATGATTAGAGAGAAAAAGAGGACCAAATTGTGCAAACAGAAATGGCCCCATATTCGCTCTGACAGATTGTTATCAGTACATATATTAATAGTAACAAAATACCAAACAAAATCAAACAAACCTTAACTGTGGCCCCAGGGAAGAAAAGCCAGTTGCCAGTGTCCACAGGATCAAGATCGTCTTCTAGAACAATTTGTCTGTGAGCAGCATTTATGATCAGAATGTTGTCCAACGCCCAACAGGCTTCATACACATCACCAGCATGCATGTATTCTTGTTTCCACTGAAACTGAACATTCTCTCCTTTGGCGTCTTCAGGAAGGTAGAGTATATGGATAATGGTGCTGACATTGGAAGGTGCTCTGTAGAATAGTGAAATGCAGAATCAGATGGAGATGGAGACTGTGATTGAAGTGATTTACCAAAGGTAATACAGCTACTACATTAATTTATCATGTCAATAAATCTTTTGTGCACATAGGAAATAGTTGTAATGAACACTGAACTCCAAAATAAATCAAGATAATCTCCCTGCCACAAAAAATACATCAGAAAGAGAAAAGAAACAAATATGAACAAAAAATCCAATGGTCTGTTATTATTACTTACTATCAAATTGCCCATCAAGAATGATGGGGTGGGGGGGACGGGGAAAGAACACCGTCACCCAGTGACCCACAGTACCACTGCTCCGCTTCCATCCCCATGTGCCCCCCTGCATCTGGCCCTGTGGACCCCTCCACCCCCCCCACTGCTCCCGGTGTGGCCCCGTGCACCCCCCACACCCACTGCCACTCCACCATGTGCTGCCACTGGTGCTGCACCGCCAGCTCCCCACGCTGCCGCTGCCTCCACCTCTACGGAGCAGGGCTGGGAGGGCGAGGCCAGTGCTGCATGGAGCTGAAGCATATCTGCATGGAGCTGAAGCACTCTGAATTTCAATGGGAGTGGGATTTGGAGCACCTAAAATGCATGTCTGTCCATACCTATTGCCTTCCCTTCACTGGGTAAGTCTAAACTGTTTTCAAGCATACCCTGAGCCTCTGCTTCTCCTCTGCATGCACCAATCCCGGAAATGAGGCTGTTTTCAAACATTCAGCAGAAAGATCAAGAGCAGCTGCCCGAGGTACTCCCAGAAATTGGCCACAAAGAATCCACACGGTAAATGGAGACCTCTGTCTACCTTTGCTGACAGCCTAGAGAATTCAGTGCTCAAACAAGGCACACTTGATCCCACAAAGTACACATGCATTTCTCTTTGAATCACAACAACCCTCAATCTGTTCAAACTGATCCCTTTGCCATTCAGCACAGCTACACCTAACAGTGAAAGCACCTGGAGTGCAGACAGATACAAGCTGCGGTTCCAACAAGGAATACTAGACAAACAATGACATTTTTTCATAATCCTTAGTGTGTCACCATGTAACTGCCCCATTCCCTATTGCCAATTCAAGGGAGCAAATTTAAGGAGGCATTACCAGAATGGTGTATAACTTGACTTTGTATCTCCCGGACTGCAGTGATTTAAATTTGGATTACCTTAACTGCTGGTTCCTATGTTTTCTCCAAAGGTATAAATGTAGCTGAACTACACATTCTGGTGGGGCAACTTTAACCCTGAATTAATACCTACTACTTGATGCTACACAAAGTAGACTGGGTGGCAGATTCTAGCTACAGGGAGCACACAATATACACACTGAAATCTTGTGCCCTTGCTGCACTACTAGAATGAGTGTGATAGGTGTTGACGTACATGGAGCATTTCACAATACTACTTTATAAAATTATTGCTCTGCTTTTGAAAAATATTCACATCTAATATTGATTGTCAGTTTAGAGGTATGAATATTGCAATAAAAGTTTTAAAAATCCTTGTTCATAATCCTTTATACTTGCATGTAAACCTGTTTGTTTGAAAAATGGCATAATTTACCATCATTTTGTTGTTATAGCAATGTTGGAAATCAAGTCTTTGCATCAAACCATAAAATACTTTTATTGAACATCCATCCTACCCAAGTACAAACCTGCCACACAGAAATTATTGT